TAGGGAAAAAGAAACAAATTTGGTTTCAATCCATATTGTTACTCATTTTTCTTGTAGTTATTATTTAAGCTTTCTTTAGGTCCCCTGTGCTAGCTATTTATTTAGAAAGCTGCATTCTTTCTTAACTTCCAAACCTGGTGTGTGTGTGTGTGTGTGTGTGTGTGTTTATGTGTGTGTGCGTGTGTGTGTTTTCCTGGAGTTCTGCAATTCAGACTGTTTTTAAAAAATAGATGATGATTTGCCTCATTGATAAATATGCTTTCTTGTTGATAACCTCCACACCCTTATACAATTTGTGTCATGTTTTCTGAGTATTGTATAGAGAAGCCTAAAAACACTTTGTACGATGTGGTGGGGTGGGATGGGACTGGGATTGTATTTTCCCCTTTCTCTCCTCTCTGGCACTCTAATAATTATGCTTTTGTTTCTCCAACCACAGCCGAACCTCTTGAAGCCATTCTTACAGATGATGAACCAGACCACGGCCCGTTGGGAGCTCCAGAAGGGGACCATGACCTCCTCACCTGTGGGCAGTGCCAGATGAACTTCCCATTGGGGGACATTCTTATTTTTATCGAGCACAAACGGAAACAATGCAATGGCAGCCTCTGCTTAGAAAAAGCTGTGGATAAGCCACCTTCCCCTTCACCAATCGAGATGAAAAAAGCATCCAATCCCGTGGAGGTTGGCATCCAGGTCACGCCAGAGGATGACGATTGTTTATCAACGTCATCTAGAGGAATTTGCCCCAAACAGGAACACATAGCAGGTAAATGAGAAGCAAGGAGAAAAGCTGTTTGCATGTTTTCTTTTCATTTTCAGAGGCGCTGTAGTCAAGCAGTAAGGAGTGGTGAAGTGCTTTCTGTATTTCTCCATCTGACTGTCCATGACAGCCCTGTAATGTTAAAATAATCATTTCTATAGCTTACATTCAGGACACAGAAAAATGTTTTCCACCTCATGGACTCACATGGAGGCAGAATAGGTACATGCACCTGACACCCTCTCTCACTGGATCTGCTGATTCTGAATTTCTTTCCTTCCCCCTCCCCACATCTCACTTTAAAGTATTGAGGCTTGTCACACCTAGCCTAGTTTTCAGTGTCTATTTCCAGCCTTGGTGACATGTTACAGGCAGAGTGACCCTATAGACATGTGTAGTTCCACCAAAGACCTGTTTGACTTGGGATACCTGTTCGGGTCTCCCTAGGGGTGCAGTTAGTTCTCAAGGCTTCCCTGCAGGGGGGGTGGGCTGGTGGGGCAGTTTGGAGGGTGGTAGAAAGAGTTAACTGAGCTCCAGGGCTAGCCTTGGATCCATACTGGCTGTCAGCCCGTATGGGGCTGTAATTAAACACAGCCCCGTGGTGGGATGACACCGTGACCTTGACTTTAAGATGCCATTTTCGACTGGCCAGGCCAGAGTAGAGAGGGCAGTTGCTGAAGCGCACACAAACCTGGTGTGTGTGTGTGTGTGTGTGTGTGTGTTTATGTGTGTGTGCGTGTGTGTGTTTTCCTGGAGTTCTGCAATTCAGACTGTTTTTAAAAAATAGATGATGATTTGCCTCATTGATAAATATGCTTTCTTGTTGATAACCTCCACACCCTTATACAATTTGTGTCATGTTTTCTGAGTATTGTATAGAGAAGCCTAAAAACACTTTGTACGATGTGGTGGGGTGGGATGGGACTGGGATTGTATTTTCCCCTTTCTCTCCTCTCTGGCACTCTAATAATTATGCTTTTGTTTCTCCAACCACAGCCGAACCTCTTGAAGCCATTCTTACAGATGATGAACCAGACCACGGCCCGTTGGGAGCTCCAGAAGGGGACCATGACCTCCTCACCTGTGGGCAGTGCCAGATGAACTTCCCATTGGGGGACATTCTTATTTTTATCGAGCACAAACGGAAACAATGCAATGGCAGCCTCTGCTTAGAAAAAGCTGTGGATAAGCCACCTTCCCCTTCACCAATCGAGATGAAAAAAGCATCCAATCCCGTGGAGGTTGGCATCCAGGTCACGCCAGAGGATGACGATTGTTTATCAACGTCATCTAGAGGAATTTGCCCCAAACAGGAACACATAGCAGGTAAATGAGAAGCAAGGAGAAAAGCTGTTTGCATGTTTTCTTTTCATTTTCAGAGGCGCTGTAGTCAAGCAGTAAGGAGTGGTGAAGTGCTTTCTGTATTTCTCCATCTGACTGTCCATGACAGCCCTGTAATGTTAAAATAATCATTTCTATAGCTTACATTCAGGACACAGAAAAATGTTTTCCACCTCATGGACTCACATGGAGGCAGAATAGGTACATGCACCTGACACCCTCTCTCACTGGATCTGCTGATTCTGAATTTCTTTCCTTCCCCCTCCCCACATCTCACTTTAAAGTATTGAGGCTTGTCACACCTAGCCTAGTTTTCAGTGTCTATTTCCAGCCTTGGTGACATGTTACAGGCAGAGTGACCCTATAGACATGTGTAGTTCCACCAAAGACCTGTTTGACTTGGGATACCTGTTCGGGTCTCCCTAGGGGTGCAGTTAGTTCTCAAGGCTTCCCTGCAGGGGGGGTGGGCTGGTGGGGCAGTTTGGAGGGGGGTAGAAAGAGTTAACTGAGCTCCAGGGCTAGCCTTGGATCCATACTGGCTGTCAGCCCGTATGGGGCTGTAATTAAACACAGCCCCGTGGTGGGATGACACCGTGACCTTGACTTTAAGATGCCATTTTCGACTGGCCAGGCCAGAGTAGAGAGGGCAGTTGCTGAAGCGCACAGACATGCTTACTCGAAAAGTTTAAGGGCATGTTGGAAATTTCAAAAGGTTGGTTTGACAGGAACGGCTGCTCCCTGCAGCCTGCCTCCTCAGCTAAATGATAAATGCTTCTCTGTGCTCTCTCTTGTCTCTGATGTGGTTTTGACAGATGTATCTTGATTTTGTTTGTGGTTTACACAACCACATGTCACCCTTACAAATGTCCAGTCCAGACTCCACTGTTTCTGCTATAACACAATGTAAAAATTTCCTTAGGAAAATACATACACACATTTAACAGCGTTCATCCCTCAGTTAATTTTAGCAGGGAGGTAGCTAGGTGTGTGGTTCGTAGCAGCTCAAGGGAAAAGGAATTAAAGGCTAACTGAGGGGCTTAAATTCCCTACTCCACGTGATAAACAGCAGCCATATATAGTGAACTTTAAAACATTTTTCAGTTTAGCACATTAGACAAAGTGAATGCAGATTTTCTGGTGACCAAAACATCATGCCTATCAGGGGCTCACTTCCCCACCCTGCATCCCACCGAAGAGTAGAAGGTTTATTCAGTTTTAGGACAGCAGTGCATATAATCAATTGATTCCCTGGAACTTGTCTCTCTGACCTAGTTTGACCACAAAGTTGAACCATAGTAGGTCAGTGGTCCGGAGGGGATTAAATGTGTTTTTTCTCCTCACTTATTCTGGAATTCGATCATTAAAATCAAATATGGCATTTTCATTCATTCTTTCTTTTTTAAAATGCTTTCTGTAATAGCACTCAGATACTTCTCCTTTAGTGAAACGAGAAATCTGTTACCAGGGAAGCTGCATTTACAAAGTATTTTTCTGAAATCTACCACATTTAGCTTATGTGACATGTGGGTTAAGATTTTATCTCCCCCCACCCCCAGAAGGATATGGCAATGACCATTTCCATGTGCTGTCTTGTGACTGGGAGGAAAATGAACAGAAGTGTAAGGCATGATTAATGAAGCAAGAGCAGGCGGAAGGGGATTTGTCGTCTTCAGAGATCCAAAGCCTTGCTAAATCACCAAATATGGAGTAACACTTGCGTGATGTAACATCGTATTTACATATCGTGCTGCTCGTTTAAAAGACACAACACAGTGTCTGTCAAGCAAGAATTAAAACCACACTTCTTCCTGAGGTCCCAGATAGGTTATTCAGTCTCAGATTAACCAGCTCAAAAATTCTGTGCCTCTGTACTTGGAGGAAGAATCTAAGAGCTGGGGGGAAGGCCTACTAGGCTTTTTGCTGTTACACTTGTGAGTCTAAGTAGGGATTTCCACGAAAGAAAAGATATTTGTTTTAACTCCCTGGTTGTCATAAAAGGTTTTATTTTTCTTCAAGAACTAGTATGGCAGAGTTTAGAAAGCACCCCTCCCCCCAGGGGAAAAAAAAAAAAGAAAGATGGAGAGAGAAAACTTAAAATATATGTATAGGGCTGATACTAAATAAGATGAAAAGCTGTGTAAAGTGTCTCAAGATATCCAATGGGTGCACAAGTGTTGCGACCCAGGTAAGGTAAACCTTTCATGCACAAATAATTACAAAGTCTTGATTCCTTTCATTGTGTTTAATCACCTTTTCCCACCCTGGAAGTGGCTGAACATAAATAGTGTGGTCACATCTCAAAGTGAGATGTCAGTAACTAGAATCACGACTTCTCATAATTCACAGTAATGAATTAAGTTTCCTATGGTGAAATTAACATTCTACCATCGCACATAAATTACAATACTCTGGCCCTCAGGTGCCCCTGACGCAAAGTTCTGGAAGATGGTTGTGTACTCCCAGCCCATTTCTCTAAAGCACGTCCCCACAATTCCAGATCTGCTTTTCTTTTTATGTTGAGGAAGGAAACAATAACAGTAATCATTCAGCAGATATGTGAATTATGTCACAAAAAGAAAGCAGCAGTGCTCTGTTTTAGGAAAGAGAGATATTGATGAATCTTGAGAAGAATATGTTTGGCAACCACATAAAAGGTCGTCATTTAAGCACGCTGTGTAGGAAAGGCTTTATTAAAGTGATGTAGGTTGGATTGGAGTTCTCTCTGGTCTGTGCCATTTTATAGGCAGAGAACAGGAATAAAACAGTGACAGATCTTCTTCCTAAGATAAATAAAGATTACAATTTGGGGTTTTCTAGTAGGAGAATACGATAGAGTTCTTTAAATCTTCAGCAAAATGGTATGTATTGTAACTGTACCTAGGCCTGTCAAAGCTGAGTATTTTTTGGAGAGGATGCTTTTACCTGGTGAATTGAATCGATGGGTATGTGCTTCCCCACTTCATCCATGTACCTGCGTTAACTATACACATAGACATTGATCAGGTGGCTTTTTCAATTTATCCAGCTATTTCAAATCTTGTGTGACTGTGATCCATTGAGACCATTGAAATAGTATTAATTTAACTGAAAGTTAGCAGCTTACATTGTGTGGGCCCAGTTCATCAATATATGTGTCAAATATCTACCAGCAGTTATCAGCAGCCTTTGATTGGCAGTCAGAGCTTTCAATAGGGGTTTGTTTTGTTTTCTAGTCTCAGATTTTATGATGGGGGAATAATATTCATTGATAATTAGTGGATCTGAAACTGCTGTTGCCGAATAGAAAAGGCCCAAAATATTATCCTACAGTACCAGATTTGAGGTTTTGGCAGATTGCACATAGGAGTCTTTAAATTAGGATTGAGCTATCATAAAGTTATCTTTTTGAAAGAATGGGGAAAAATATGACAAGTCCTATAAAATGTAGTAAAATTTGCTGCTATCAATCTATAACTTTTTTTTCTCTTTAAAATCATGAACATAGATGTTTATATCAGGGTACTTGAAATTATTTGCCTTAACGATATAGCTGTTATCTAGAAATGATATGTAAGACAGATAACTTTGATGAAGGGGGAAATACTAATTCAAAATGGAAATACATTAGCATGTTACTTAAAGATGAATCAAGTATAACATACTTATGCTTTTCAGAATTTAGAAAATCAATTTGCCTTTTCTTTTTGTACCCATTTCAATTCTTTCCTAGCTCAGTCTGAACTGGAGGACGTTATCTGTATATTTCACAGTGTTATTGTAATGAGACTATAAATTATAGTATCCTATTATAACTACTTATTTTTCATTTCTCTTTATTTGTATGACTCTGAATAAAAACTACTGACCTCTGAAGTGGATTTGCAGCATGGCAGCTAAAATAAAAAGCAACACCACCATCACCAAAAAAAAAAAAATAGACACACACACTCACATGAACATTTTATTTACTTTCAGAATCAGAGAGTAGAGAATCTTGTTTTCTAATAAATACTTAGGATTTTCATAGGGAGCCTATGTTTGTGAGGCCACTACCCACAGACTCATGCTTATGAAACTGGAAGTCTTACATACAAGCTGTATTTGTAAATAAGACAGAGAAAGGTTGTGAACTGGCAGCTTGGATGTTTTGTCAAAGTACAATGTCAGAGAAACTCTTTCTAAGACAAATTGTAAATAGAACTGTCACAGTGATTGCATGATTGAGCCACAGAAGTGTCCTACAATTGTTGGCATTGTCAGAGGACTTTTAAAAGCTTAATTAAACACAGTGGCCCGCATGGCTGCTAAATTTACTTCCGAAAGCTAAAAAGAAAAAAAAAATCTAAAATGTAGAAGATCCCAAAGATCCCAAAGTTCTTCAGACATTAGTTACCCTTATGGTGACACAGAAAAGATGCATTGTGCATTTTCCTGGTCGTCTTTTATAAATAATAGTTTTGAGAATAGGCCCACGTGATATGAAGATCATCCCGTGTGTGATGTGGAGATTGTGTTAGTTTTTCTGTCTCCTGCTGTTACAGACAGTTAATGTAAAAATGGCCTTTTATTGGAAACACAAATATGTATTCACTTCAAGAACAGGAGCAGAGGGGGACAAAGTTTCCCTCCCATTCTCTGTGTTTATTCTGTGAAAGCTTAAAAAAACAGTGCTGTAATTTCTTAAATCACCCCATTCCTCGTTGTGTTGCAAGTTGTGCCTTTTACTTTAAAGGGTCTGAAATGCGTTTTGCACACATTTCTCCTAGTGAATGTGGCATTTAATTGTAGAGCTGGCCATGGGCTTGAAAATGCAACTGTGTGTAGTAACATATAGGCAGGGTCCTGGCTTGCAACCTTCCAGCTCAGAGAAGAGGCGAGTTGGATGCGTATTGATGGCAAATTTAGAGTCCTGGAAAATCATGAATTTCACACTGCGACCTCCATGTAGTTGGGCAAATGTGGAGTAGGGGGACTACATTGGGGTCCATAATAGACATATGCATATA